TCATCAAATTGATTATATAGACATCAAGATGTATGGACATAAGAAAAAAATAGATTTCAAGTTTTAGAAATAGTGCATCTTATAACACATTTTTAGACCGTCAATTTTCAGGATTTTCAAGTTTTCATATATCTGCTCGATCTACACTATTTTTTAAGCTTTAAATTTTATAACTAAAGATGAAAATATAATTTAAGTCTATCACAAAGCTTTTCAATATTGAAATTATATTTCATGAGACTATGTGAAGGTGTACTCTAATTTGATTGTTTAGAGCCTCAGCTCTAATTTGATTGTTTGAATCGAACCATTTGAAATCAAAATATCTTTGAGACTAACTCTTTTTGTTTGTTATTTGCCTTGCAGATACATCTGAACAGCCGACGGAAGGCATCCTAAAAGCTCTAGCAGGGTCAAAGTAAAGTAACCTAACCCTACCAAAGATACCATGCGTTGTAACGCTTGATAAACTCTTCAAAATCCATAGTTTCTCAAAAAAAAAAAAAAAAAAAACCTTAAAATGCAACCAATACATAAAAGGAGAAAGTTTATATGAGGTTGCAATATAGGTTGCGTGTGGTGGGCATTGTCATTTTATTTGGATGATATAGATTTTATGACGCAAGGAGAAAATAAAACCAGAAAAAAAACAAAAAAAGGAAAAGTAAAAAGAATATACCATCTCTCAAGGTCGGCAAGAGAATCCACCCCAAAAAATAATCTTTTCACGAGACCAAATTTTACTAAACTCATTCGACATGTTTTTTACAATAGGGACTTCTCCCCTTTAAATAGACTTTATAGAAAAAATAAACAAATGAAAAACCCACAATAAATAAATTGTCTTATATCTCTAAAAGCGTAGTACCATTTTCCGTTTTTCTTTCTCTCTCCAACTTCCACATAAATCTTCTCCCATATCTCCTCACACGCTATCTCCTTATTTCATCTCTTCATCTCACCAACTTCCCCAAAAGATTCATTCTCTATGACATTTCATTATTCCTAATCTATTCCACAAAATCCTCCCACTTAACAATACGTACCAAAATCCTCCCTCCCCTTAATTATCCTACCTCACTTCCTATTCTTAAGAAAAATAAACAAAAGAATAATAAAATAAAAAATTAAAATAACTCTAATTTTATTTGCATCATTCTCCCCGGGTTGGGAGAAGCTTGACCTTGAGTTTATTGAACTCAAATCGTTTAGGTTTCTCAAAAGTTGGTGATGAAGTCCCACGAAATCAAATATTTTAAGGGCTTTCTCAAAAGTTAATGATGAAGTCCCACCATGAGCTTTGGTACTTTTTTTTTTCAATTTCTTCAAGACTGATGTAAGAATCTTTGTCTGCAATTGTGTTCGAAGAGTCCAGCTTTAAAGAAGCACCATTTGCAATCAATGAACACCCTTGTCCATAAAATTTTGAGAGATTAATTTTAATACTAAAATCTTGTGGTCGCTCTATTGGACACGGATTTGGCTTGTAAATTTATTCATTACGCTTGAAATTAACACCCTGGGTTTGTCGTGGGACTACTGATACAAGATTAGATCAATGTGACTGCAAACACCTTCTTCGCAAGGAACATTGTTCTCCAACTGTTGCACCCTATGATCCAACTATTGCATCTCCTATTCTTCACGAGAAATATTATTATTGAACCATTACAACCTCTAAACCAATCATTGCAGCCTTGATTCATCTCACACCTTGATTCATCTCACGTACTTCGGTTCGAACATCCTCTAATCCAACCGTTATATGATTGATTCATCTCACGTACTTCAGTTCGAATATCCTCTAAGGCTTTAGTTAAAATTTTTATAGCTTGTCCCCAACGATCATCCATAGCAGGAGCAAGATTAGCTTGATTAGCAGGAGCATGATAAGTTTGATTAGCTTTTGGTGGCATTGTAAAACAAACAGGATTTCTGGCTCTTCCTTACTATCTATAGATCTAACTTGCTCTGATACTATTGATGCAAGGAGAAAATAAAACCACAAAAAAATAACAAAAAAAGTAAACGTCTAGGGAATATACCTTCTCTCAAGGTTGAATCCACCTCAGAAAATAATCTCTTCATGAGACTAAATTTTACTGAACTCATTCACCTTGTTCTTTACAATAGGACGTTTCCCTTTAAATAAACTTTACAGAAAAAATAAACAAATAAAAAATCCATAATAAATAAACTCTCTTATCTCTCTAAAAGTCTTAGACCATTTTCCCTTATCTCTTTCTCTGTCCAACTTCCACATAAATCTCCTCCTTATCTCCTCACACGCTATCGCCCTATTTTATCTCTTCATCGAACCCACTTCCCCAAAATAGCTCGCTCATTCTCACATGATCTTTCATTATTCCTAATCTATTTCACAAAATCCTCCCACTTAACAATATGTACCACAATCCTCCATCCCCTTAATTATCCGAGCTCACTTCCTATTCTTAACAAATAAAAACAAAAGAATAATAAAATAAAAAAGTTAAAATAACCCTATTTTTATTTACATCATTTTATATGGTCTTTTTTTAAGACAACATTAAAATTTGAATTTGTTTTAAAGGATAAGTCAAATTTATACCATCCAATTAAAATGAAAGGTGTACAACATCGCAATCTTACTTCTAAAATTAGTATTGTTGTATTGTACCTTAAAAGAGTTAGGTTTATATGTGCTTGTTAACAGTCAAACCATCACGATCATAAATTTCAAAAAAAAAAATTGAATTTTAAATATGGTTCATTTTGCAGTTTTATTTTGAGTGGTTTATTTTAATTTTCAAAGATAATCATGTCTACCCCATTTTTTTAAGTTTTGCATTCATTAATCTAAAGTAGAAATTAGAAATGGATTTGCAATAATTTGAGATTAGACATAGCAATCCCTGAAAAACTAGGGCCATCAGGCAGGCCCGGATTGGCCATGTGTTTTCTTCCTTTTTTTTTTTTCCTTTGTTGAGTTTATTAGGCTTGGCCTGACCCGAAGTGGGTCAGGTCTAGTCTGGCCACGTCTAGACCGGGCCAGACTAGGGTCAGGCAAGAGGAGCCCTGCCCAATTGCCAACCCTGTTTGGGATGTGCTTATGGTCTTAAATCCCTCAAAAACCAAAATGGGTGCAAGGAAAAGTGTTACTATCTTAAAAAAGATGGTTTATTTTGTAATTTTATTTTTGATCACTCATGAATTTTTAGGAATCTTCTGATTTGCACTAATTTTTAAGCGTCAAATTGATAGATCTGAAGCAAATATGGAGAAATAGATTTATTGTATTTATAGATAAATTTCAAGTCCTAATTGTCGTCCTCACTCTGTTTGGAAACCGCGTCCTGAGGACCCTCTCCAATTCAATTTTGATGGAAGCTCCCTAGGCAACCTGAGACCTAAGGGAATAGGAAACTTGTTTAGCAACCATGAGGGGTCCGTTATTTTCTTTTATGCAAGGCCTCGTCGGCTAATCAAGCTGAAATTTGCTCGCTAATACAAGGGCAGAAAGTTATTCTTAGCAAATAAATTAGGAGAAGTATCTTTATTGAAAGGGATCCCTCAATATCATTAAATGGTGTAAGCACGAGCAAAGAATTGGTGTAAGCACGAGCAAAGAATTCGATCGTCTCTCCATGTTTTCTTGTTGGAAAATTATTATATTTGTTATACCCCGGGGGGCTTCGGTATCTGTTTTCCTCGATCTATCGAGAGGCGAATGGCGCAGCTGATCGCCTAGTAAAAGTCAGCATCTATTTATCTTTTTTGTCCATTTCTAATGCTTTAATTTCGCTTTCTAAGCGCTCATTCAATAGAAGGTTTTAATAATGTTAAAAATAAATAAATTTCGAATCTTAAATCTCCCAAAAACGTCGGAAGATAAGGATCATTATCCCAACGGGTCAAATCAGCGAGTTTGTGCCCATGCCGGTGAGGGGCGATATGGGGCTAAGGATGTCTTTTGAAACCCAATTGCTCCTTTATTAGTACTATTAAGATAGTTTTAATTTTATTGTTGTAATATGTAAATCAAGAATTTGTCTTGCCCAATTTTGTATAAGATTATTTACTTTTGGTGCAAAGAGGCTGCATTCACACAGTCATTAATATAAAATCTAACGGAAAATGATTTGACAAGGCTATAGCTCTACTAAAATAAGTAAAGCCTTATTTTATAATTCATCAAAAATTATAATTCAAATGTTGAAAAATCTTTATTTCGATCATCTCAGCTTGAAAATATTAGATGTAAAAAAAAAAATGGATTTTAAGCTCTAAAAATTATAGATATTGTAACAAATTATCTAGACCCTCCATTTCACCATAAAAATAGAACAGACTGCCCTTTCCTTTTGAAGTGGGTTATTTATTGCATTACTCTCTACCAAGTGACATCGACTGGATGGACCAATTGGAATGGACATGAACGAACAATAACTGATCGATATCTGAAAGCAATAGGGGTGTATGACTTTTTGTAAACCTTATGATATACCCCAACTTCATAGATCCACAATATCTGTCCCATCTATTGAGTTTCAAGTTTTACTTTTGGTGCTGAAAATTGATTTAGATTCATCATGAAAATTTCCATTGGCGAGAGGATTTGAGATGAAGTTTTATTTTGTTTTCATAAAGCCTAAATCATGTAGAAACTTCATCCAAATCTAACGTGTTAAAATATGTCATAACATTTGAAAAATTTTATTTTATACTTTATACTCAATTAATAATATATCTCGAGCCACCCGATTTCACATCTAATGGTCAATAACATTCTCCATATTTACCATCCCCAAGCTTAAAGAATGGGTCTTTCTCATTATTACTTGGACTTTATGCCTATATAGTTATATATCTTTAAACACTCGATTTCTAATAACAATATAGTCTTTTTTTAAGAAGCGGCCCGTCTTCCTGTCTGGGTCTTTTGGACATTCTAAAAAAAGATTGGGTGATGGACTATATTTTAACCAAGAGGGGTTCAGTTTGATATTTAGAAAAATTACAGGGCAAATTCGAAGGCTATTCCTCGTCCATTTATGTTGTCGCAACCAGTCCTGAGACGACCGAAAGCAGTCGTCTCTTTCTCTCTCTCTGAACGCCCCTTCTTCTTCTTTCTCTAAAAAGACGAGAAACCCTAAATTTTGTCTGAAACCGCTAGATTTTTTCTCTGTAAAAATCCTTGTTTTTCTTGTTGAACATGGGTTGAACAGCCCAAAAGAAGAGGACCCAAAAAACCCTAGTCCCCAAAACCATAGAAGAAAAAGAAGAAACTAGGAAAAACCAGAAGAAAGAGAGAGGGAGCTTTTATGGCAGATAATGGCGATGCGAAGGTGATAGAAACGGCAAGGCACATAGTGAAATCGCTTGGGCGCACAGATACCATGACAGACGACATGTTACAGATCCTCTCCACCTTTGACCGCAGGTTCTCAAGAGAAAAAATGGCAGGAAAACAGCTAGAAGAGGAGGAAGAACCAGAGGCTTTCGAGCTCGAGATATCCATACAGGCATTAGAGCAGGTAATCCTCTCTTGGGTCGCCCGAGAAAGCCCAATTTGGCCAGAGTCTGGTGATTTTCCGGCGACTTTCTTCGAATCCATTGATGAATTGCAGGCAATTAGCGAAAACTGGGCTCCGATGCTTTCAGAGAGCCGAGCTTTTTCTTCTCTTTTAGACAGGGCTGAAACCCTAATGCAACAGGCCATGTTCAGGTTAGAAGACGAGTTCAAGCTTTTAATGGAGACAAATGGTGAGGTTGTTGATCCCGACTGGTTATTTGAGAGCAATCAAAAGAGGTCATCTTACCCAACTTCTCCATCTTCATCAGAGGATGAGGAGGTCGAAGGAATCATGGTAGCTAAACCAGTGAGAGATTATAATTTTATCATTGATGTTTTGCCTGGTTCAGTGGTCTCAAAGCTCCATGAAATTGCAAAGAGGATGGTCTCTTCTGGCTATCGGAAGGAGTGTTGCCATGCCTTTAGTAGCTTGAGAAGGGAATTCCTAGAAGAAAGCATTCTCAGGTTAGGATTTCAGAAGCTCAGCATCGAAGATGTTCAGAAGATGGGGTGGGAGGAATTGGAGCCCAGCATAGTGAAATGGGTTCAGGCCATGAAGGTCTCAATCCATGTCTTTTTCCCTAGCGAGAAGCTCCTTTGTGATCGAGTGTTCGCAAACCTTTCTCTCTCTAGCCCATGTGTTTCTCTTTCTTCCCCAAAAGGTTATCTCTCCTCCCCTGTTTCTGACCTCTGCTTCATGGAAGTTTGCAGAGGAGCAATGACCCAGTTGCTCACTTTCGCAGATGCAGTCTCTATAGGAATTCGATCTCCTGAAAAGCTATTCAAAGCTTTAGACATGTTTGAGGCCATGGCTGATCTCTTGCCTGAAATTCTTACTATGTTTGCAGGTGAGCCATTTGCCCCATTAAAGTCAGATGCAATGGCCATTTTTCGACGAATTGGGGAAACAGTTCGAGGTATTTTTATGGAGTTTGAAGCAGCAATTCAGAGGGATTCAGCTCGATCTCCAGTACCTGGAGGTGACCTCCACCCTCTGACCAGGTATGTGATGAACTATCTGAGATTTGCCTGTGATTATAGGCCATCTCTTGACCGGATTTTTGCCGGAGATTTCGATTTTCCAGCGAATATTCAGGCGATGGCTGACCCCCCATTTGCCTCTCGAACTCAATGGGTCATGGAGCTCCTCGAAACCAGTCTTGAGACCAAAGCCAAGCTCTATAAAGATCAAGCTCTAAGCTCTCTCTTTCTCATGAACAATTTGAGATACATAGTGAAAAAGGCTCAAGATTCAGAGATGGGTCTTCTCTTGGGTGACGAATGGATGAGGAAACGACGAGCCAAAGTGAGGCAAAACCATACAAATTTTATGAGGAATTCATGGGGAAAGCTTCTGAATTGGCTCAGAGCCGACAGCCATGCTACAAGGAATGTCAACAAAGAGTGGATAAAGGAGAGGTTGAGGGGCTTTAATGGTGGGTTTGAGGAGCTACATAGAGTTCAGAGAGGCTGGGCAGCTGCTGATGAGCAAGTGAGAGAGGAGCTCAGAATCTCAGTGGCTGAGATTGTGGTGCCTGCTTATAGATCATTTTTGGGGAGGTATGGAGTGAAGATGGAGGGAGAAAGGCACTCAGAGAGGTATTTGAAGTATAGTGCAGATGGGATTGAGGGTTTGATCAATGAGTTGTTTCATGGGAATTCAGGTGGCAGGAAAAGGGGGGTATCTGCTGGTTGAGAGGGAGAGAGAGGGGGGAACTTGGGGCTTTCTCTCTCTCTTCTTCTTCTTCTTCTTCTTTTTTTTTGTTTGCATTTTGGGGTTTGGGCTATTTCCATCCGTGCTCTCTGGCTGATGGTTCTGGAGTCTCTGTATGTGTAATTTTTGTGTTGTTCTTGAGTAAGGCCCCCTCTCTCTCCTCTTTCTCTCTCATGTTTGGTGGTCCTCCCCTCTTTCTTTTTATCCTGTTTAGTGGTCCCTCTCTGTGTGTCTCTTTTGTTTTGCTAGTCTCAGTCTCTTCCATTTGTGCACTTTTTTGTTTGTCTTTCATTTGTTTTGGGACCATATTATCTTAATCCCTTTAGGGGTTCGAGGCCCTTTTCTTGGTTATTAGCCCTCTTCACTCATTTGTTGTCTCTCTTCCTATCTCCTTGCCTTTTGCTTCTCTCTCCTCCCCCCCCCCCCTCCAATCTTTTTCTACTTGCATTTGTTTTTCCCCTCTTTCCTCCATTCTTTCTCATGTCTCACCCTCCTTATTGGATTAAGGCTGTCTTGTTAAATTTTATTTTTCTTCCTAGTCCCTTTTTATTTTGTCTTATGGTTCTCTCTCTCTGGGCCTCTCTTGTTTATTTATGGTCTTTATGATCTCTCTCATGTATCTTGTCTTGTATTGGTTATGCACCGATCTGACCTTTGGGTTTTGTATATATGATGAGAGTGGTGATTTAGGGTTTTTTTTAGCTTGGCCAGGTGTAATTGGTGTCTATTTGTTATTTTCTTTCCTTCTGTGTACATCAGCAATTTTACCTTGTTTATATCATCTCTTTACTGTTGGGAAATTAACTTGCAAGGTGCACTGTTCAATATTTCACCTACTTCATTGTCCACAGAAAAAGTTTATGCAAGGCTTCAACCTTATACTATAGAAGTAAGGTGTACTTGAAAACCCCAGGAGAAAATGTTGTTTTGTTATTGACAATCCTTCTAATTGATCATCTCTACTTCAAGATGTATGGACATTGAAGAATAGTTATTTTTAAGCCTTACAAGTAGTATATTTTGTAATAAATTATTTAGGCTGTCTAGATTTTTTAGTCTTTATAGATTAATAAATTTGTATTATTTTTAGACTTTTAAATTTCCTTATACTATAGAAGTAAGGTGTACTTGAAAACCCCAGGAGAAAATGTTGTTTTGTTATTGACAATTCTAATTGATCATCTCTACTGCAATATGTATGGACATTGAAGAATAGTTATTTTTAAGCCTTACAAGTAGTATATTTTGTAATAAATTATTTAGGCTGTCTAGATTTTTTTGTCTTTATAGATTAATAAATTTGTATTATTTTTAGGCTTTTAAATTTCATAAATATATAAGAGTTTTGACACCAAAAATATATCTTTTAACCAGATTATGAGGTGCACTTTCATGTCATTGTTTGAGATTGACACCTTATAAAGACCTCACCTATCCACTTTATCCACATAGGGCATTGCCACGTGAGAAAATGTTGAAGCTGCAGTCTCTAATTTTGCATTTTAATAATGGGAGATATTAGTACTATCAAAATAATAATATACGAATATCTACCCCAAATGCCCGTATGAGATATGTGCCTATGATGTATTGAAAAAGTTTTTTATGGAGCTGAGGCTTTAAACCATCAAAATAGAGCCCATCTCAAAAATTTCATTAAGTAGAGGTTGTTTTGATACCTAAATATCTTCATTGATCATCTCGACCTTAAGATGTATGGACATAAGAAAAAATGGATTTATGTTTAGAAAATGATGCATTTTGAAATGTATTTTTGGATTGTCAATTTTCAGGATTTTCAAACTTTCATAGATTTGTTCGATCCAATGGTTTAAAAAGCGGATCGGTGACCCGGATCGGGCATCTAAAAATCCGATTCGGATCGACGAATCGGCGATCCGAATCGAGAATCGACTGAATAGGTTGGATTAAAGCTTTAAAAAAATCCAAAAAAATGATTAAAATTCTTTATAAATGTTGTTTTTAAGAATCCAATAAGAAATGAGGATACTATATTATCAACTTTCATTTTTCTCATCAATTTGTATATATTGAGATGCTCTTTCCCTGTATAAACTTAAATTAAATATTAAATTTGCATCACATAAAAAAAAATTATAGAATTATCATGGATAAAATATATAATTACACATGGACAATTATAAAGTGTAGACTAATCAATGAAAGAATGGCCATTAAAATCTTGTTTTGGCGAAAAACCCTAATCCGCTAAAAAAACCTAAATTGTTACAACCTAACTAACTATAATCCAAAATTATTACAACTTAATTAATTATAATATTATATACTGAAATTATAATTATTAGTTTACATTTTATAATTATTTTATTAGACAAATAATAACAAATTAAAAATATTTTAGAATATTATCTAATTGAAAAGTGATTAAAAAATTATTAGAAGAGGCTTCCATATCATATGACTAAAATTAAAAATAAAACGACCAATAAATTCTAATGTAATTATATTAAAAGATTCAAAATAACTTTACCCAAAAAAATGAAAAATAAAGATGCCAAAATTCAAAAAAAAATCCTATCGGCAATATGCACAATAGCTACAAAAAAATAAAAATAAAAATAAAATATTGTAATAAAACCCATCGAAAAAACTATTTTACTAATAAACATCAAAAAAATTTATATGGCTATTTTTTAATTTGGCACACTAAATTAATGAGTGCTATTAATTTATTTTTTAATTTTATATAGCCGTTTATTAGTGCTATTAATTTGACACGCTAAATTAAAACGCTACACATATGGATAATGGCTTGCAATAATTAATGGCTTGTGTGACGATGGCTTGCACGCTGTTGAAGGCAAGTGGGAATTGTCCCACATCGGAAATATCAAGCGACTTTCAAGTTTATAAAAGATGTGAGGTTGAGCTCTTCAACAGCGTGCGAGCGAACGGTGCATGGGGTAACACGTGGTTATATATGAATGTGGTACTGCCGTCCAACAATATCGAAAATTACCTTTATTTTTAAGACAAATATCCCAATTACCCTTGGAAACATCATACATACCGAGACATGACGTCACCATCCGATTTTATACAGTGAATCGACAACCTTGCACGTGCGCACGTGTGAGCTCGCACGGGCGAACGAGAGCACGTGCGTGAACCGGCTGAACCGGATGGAAACCGGCGGTTCCCGGTTTTATGATGGAACCGACACAGCCTGTGCCGGTTCTCGAGTTGAACCGGGCGAGTCTGGTTCGACTCGCCGATTTTTAAAACACTGGTTCGATCTATACTATTTCTGAAGCTTTAAATTGTATAATTAAAGATAAAAATATATTTTAAGGCTATCACTGAGATTTTCATTATCGAAACACATTTCTCGATACTATTTGAAGCTGCACTTTATTTTGATTGTTTAGAGCTTTGGTTCTATAGAAACTGTACCCATTTGGTATTTCGAATATTATTATTCTTCAATTATTTTAGAATACGAATATCATTATCATCGCAAGTTTTTTCTCAATTATTTGGGATCGGTTATTTTGAAATATATATCTACCCTAAATACCCTATCACATAGACATTAGCCTATGAGATATTGATGACTTGGTGTTTTCAAATATGGAAAAAAATGGAAATGCTATCAAGTCCTGTTGTGAGGTATTGATATTTTTAGCCATATGTCATGGGCGTTTGTGAGGTATTGACATTTTTAACCATATGTCATGGGCGTTTGTGAGGATTTGATATTTTAACCATATGTCATTGGCGTTTGTAAGGTATTGATATTTTTAACCATATGCCAGGGCGTTTGTAGGTACTCTTCCTGGTGTAAGAGGGTTCCAATCCACCAGGATCCACATAAAAAGTATTTGACAGGTGTTGATAAGGATGTTTCATCTCCTCTTATAAAATACTGCCTCAATATAAAAATTTTTCCCACATTTGACCGGTGTTCGGTTTGAGGTATTTGTATTTTTAACATACATATCTTCTTTAAACTATTATTATAATATATTATATATATATATATATATATATGCGATACGGAAAATAACACATTGAACTGTATGGAGAAATTTTATTTTGAACTTTTTGTCTAGTGATTGGCATATCCCCTAACCATCCCATTTTCCCATTAATAATTAATGATTGTCATTCCTTATAATAAAGTAAATGATATTACCCTATACATTCCTTATTAAATAAGTCACCCTAAGTAATTTTGAAAAAAAATATTAGCATAGAGAAATTTATTTATAGGTTTTGTTAGGGTACTCTTTCACATAGAGTATTTTTTTTAGGTGGATCAATAGGGAATACTGGCCCCTACTCTTGGCTTATGGTATAAAGTTTTTGGAGCAAATACAGTTTTCATCATTAGGAGGAGTAAAATAGATACTAGTGATATTCTATTACTTGTTAAAAAGTAATTAGTATTCCATGTATGTGATGTCACACTTTATTTTGATAATATCATTCTCTACTATAATTAATAGTTAATTTTCTGTAGTCAAGAATATCTATTTTATCCTTAATTAATTATTTAAAATATTTTTAGACAAAAATTTACTAAATTTTGGGATAAAGGAGTGTCCAAAATGTTGAGCAGATTAAAGACATACTCTATGTGCAAGAGTACCTTAACAAAACCCTTTTACACCATAATTTTTAGTTGTTTAACATTTTACCTATTTTTTTGCTATTTCAACTCAAAGGCATGTGTATTTTTTTGGGCATCTTGAGATTAAATCAAAATATATGGCAAAGTGTTAAATAAGAATAACTTAGGTACATTTTGACAAATTTCCCGGTTCTTTTTATTTGATAACTCATAGGCTGTTTAGAGTTAGATACTAGGACCCAAAAATATCAACTGTTTAATACTTAAATTTCTTCAACGAGTGAGGTTGAAGTTCCTATATTGGAAGCCTTACGATGATTTGAATCCATGTTAAACCTTAATTATAAAATTTAATTTTTGAAAAACAGTGCAAATCAACCACATCTATAAAGGCTGAAAAATAAACACCCCATATAACTAGTTAAAACCTTCACTATTTTTAAGACTTGAAATTTGTTTTTCCTTTATATTCATACATCTCGAGATTGAGATAATCAACTGAAAAACTCTTTTTTTTTTACAACATGAAAAACTCTCTTTTTTATTGGATTTTTGAGGTACAGTTAAAACCTTACAAAATTTTTTTTCTACAAAGCCATTTTTTATTTTGATACTAGGTCGAAATTGAAAATTGGCCCTTCATTAATATGCGACTCCTCAATAGCGTACTTAAAGTTCACCTTGCTGAAATGTTTAATCTAAATGATTTCACAAATATCAATTTTCTTTAAGAATATGGCCCAAAAGAACACAAAATTCCAAGCAATTACATCAACACTAAATTAAAAATAAGAAGAGGAACCTTCCACACAAGTTCCTCTTAAATTAGAATTTCAATTCTCCAGCAGGATTTCTTGCTTGTGTGATTATGTTAAGATTGGATGGGGTAATAGAAAGGAACATTCTACGGCACTTGGTAGATCTAGCCATCTTTCTTTACTATTCCTTTTGTTACTTTTTTTTATTTTACTTGGCTGAGCCGGCCCTGAGAGGCCCGTCCTAAGCCTAGGCCAAGGCCTCTTTGGTCCGTTCGGGACCAAGGCCTCTTTGGTCCTTTCATGGCCAAGCCTGGCCTGGGCTATCCCTACGAGCCCAGGTCAGACCCATTGCCAAACCTACACAACAAAACTTGGGGTTGAATAAATCAGCCTAGGGCGTCAATCCTACACATAGTTTTCTTT